ACTTGTAGATCTGTTGAGCAAGAGGGGACCTCGTCAATCGTTCGGGTTTGATGGACATGCCGATCACCTGGCAGCAAGCGCTGCCGCAGAGCTCCGCGAGGGAGGCGTGCATTTGATCGCTCGGTGTGGAGCGATTGGACACCGACGCCAGGAAGGTGATCGATGGGCCCTTGAGTTCCGATGCCAGAGGCCTGGTGGGGGCAAACCGAGTCAGCAGCTGGGAGTCCGTCGCCAATCGGATCACACTCTCCACCAGCTCGATCGCGGCCGCCGCCGTCAAAGGTGGGCGAGTGGTGTCCGGGATCAGCTTGGCCTGATCCGGGTCCCACCGAAGGAAGTTCCATTTGCCCTCGTCTGTGAGAAAGCCGAGCTTCTTCATGTTGGTTTGGATCTCCTGTGTCATGCGAGCCGGTTGCAGTCGCTGCAGAAACTCGCGCCACACACACATCCACAGGGTGAGCCGCAGCGGGGATGTGGGAGGAGTGGTCTCCCGATCGGCCTTCCACTTGGTCGCCACCGCAAACAGGGCCTCCGGGACTCCGCCCGGCAAGCCTGTGCGCATCCAGATGACGAAGGATGTGTCCAGCATGAGGGTCTTGATCGAGTCCTCGTGCCGTACCATCAAGCGGATCATCATGTGGCACAGGGTCCAAAGCTGGGCGACTTCCTCGTCCTTTGTTTGACTGCTGTTGGCACTGCCTTTGCCCTTGCCTCCGCCCTTTTTGCCCTTTCCTTTGCCTTTTCCCACCTGGGGTCTGTCTTCTGAAGCTTGCTTGGGGGCTCTAGCGGTCGCTTGGGTGTCGTCGAGGGTGCCGTCGTCATGGCTGTGCTCATGTACGCCGAGTACATCTCCCACTCTCTCTCCTCCTCTTGGTCGTGAGTCAACTTCTGGTCCACGTCCATCGTCATGGCTTGGACTAGTGAGCAAATCTGGATCGAGACTAGAGAACACCGACTGCCAAATGACCGTGCAACCCTCAGCGTGCCGACATGGAGCACATCGGTAAGCTTGTGCACAGAACTGACATGGACGTTGAACCTGAACAGCTTTGGCCTCCTTCACAGCCTGATTCAACCTATCCACAGCCGATGGGTGTTTGGCACGAATGTGAATCTTGATGCGACTGCCGTCGTTCGCCCACAAATTACAGACTGGGCAGTTGTGAGCCATGCGAGCATGCAGTTCGGCCTTAGAGGCAATGTTTCGCCAGCGTCTGAGGTGTTCTCTGGGCTCCGCTCTCAGACAGGGTTCGTCAAGCAGCCTGGCAGCAAAAGGTGCAGGAGGAGGAGGTGGGGGTGGAGGTGCAGTCTCCGGGGGCACAACAGGCGCGCGTTCACTGAGGATCTCACAAGCAGGCACTGCCGCTGTGGGTGCAGAAGATGGAGCCTCTTCCCGGTCCGAAGACCCCAGCAGAAGAGGTTGTGCAGCATTGAGCCGCTTGGGCACACAACTATCAAACTGGATGTGCAAATTAAAATTTCTCCACCCATTGAACTCACGAAGGCAGTACTTGCATGTGGGAACACCGTTAAGGGAATGCTCAACTTGATTGATTGAGGAGAGGGCCTTCTTGACATCACGATGCGCCTGAGCACCATGTGCACGTACGCGATGGCGCTGAAGCAGACCTGAGTTCGCGAAGGTGCACGGACAATTAGGACAAGCATATGGGCGAGCCACCAGGGTCACGTCTTGAAGTGTCGTAGCAGCCTGAGTGGCACCTGAATCCGGGGCAGGTGCTGGCGTCGGTGCAGCAGCCTGAGTGCCGGTCGAAGCGTGAGCTTCAGAGATGTCAGGTCCATTCCTGAGGGTGCCTCTGTGCAAGAAGTGCGACCGTTGTGTACTTGGTGTCGGCTGGGATGCGGGAGCAATATGCGGCGCCTATGGTGCAGCGACGGGCGGCTGTGCGAAAGCGGCCTGAAGGATGACATGCCACTGTGCAACCCTATCGAGCTGAAGCGACCGGTCGAGGGCCTTGAACCGGGTCTGATTGGCGGTGGCTTCCTTCGAGAGGAGCGCAATTGGGTCAAAACCCAACTCGGTGAGGAAGGCATCCGTGGTCACATGTGTGTCCTTGGACAGCTGTCCACTGACAATGCGAAGGTGTCGGGCAACGATGCCCCGGATCCTGACCATGTCTTTAGCTTCAAGCTGCAGTGCTGTGATCCCGTATTTCAGGCATGGCCAGACCGTCGACAGCCACAACCGCCGCCTGGTGTGGCGACTGAGATGGTGTCTGGCGCTGAGCACTTGTCGAAGCCTGGAGAAAAGCTGCCCCGCCCGATTGTACCGGTGGGTAATGCTGTGAGATTCCAGGGCTCCGTAGCTGAGGATGATGCCGAGATATGGGTGCTTCCTAACAATCGGAAAAGCGCAGTCGGGTGCCACCCGCAGTTTGGAGACACCTTTGTCTTTGAACCGAAGTTTGCCCATGGTTCGCTCAGCCTGTGTGCCATGCAACTGGTAGAGAATCACACTCTTGGTGTCACTGACCTCCATGCCATGAAAACGTAAAATTTTAACCAGCTTGTGCAATTGAGCAAGGCAGTCGGTAAGGTCCGAGGATGTGCGAATCATCCACTGTGCTATCAGGTCGTCAGCATAAATGGTGAGTATTTCTGATGCTTGGGGCCCCAGAGTTGCAAGTAGCTGGCGGTACACATAGCCTGTCGCGAGCGCCCATAATGCAGGGGATAATGGACACCCCTGACGAACCCCCCGAGAGGTAGCACAAGAGGCTTTGAGACCACAATGGTCAAGCTCAACAAGAAGCTGGGAATGGATGGCAAGGACCTGTTGAACAATGGGCTCAGGTATCATGGCATCACGCATACCAGCAGCAATCATCGTTCTGGGAAGGGAGTCAAACGCTTTGGCCACATCCAAAGAGAATGTGACCCCGCCCACGCATTGAGCTCTGGAGGTTGAGTCGCGTCGTCGTTGTACCATGCGCTCTCTGGTGGGGGCTGCCGCCCGGACACTATAAAAGTGTGACACCACACGATGCATCGCTTCCACAGTTGATCGCCCCTTCACGTATGCGTACTGAGGGACATCAGCAATGTAATGTTGGAGATACGGTGCAATGAGCTCTGACAACATGATCGCGTGTACTTTGCTGGCCGGACTTAATAAGCTGATTGGGCGAGTATCCGATGGCTGTTGCGACTTTTTGGTGGGTTTCGGCAAAAGACAAAGCGAGACCCGCCTAATGGGCATGGGAAGCATGTGGGGTATGTTCGAAAACGCAGCATTGAGACAATCACTAAGCACAGGGCCCACCTCTTGTGCAGCAAGCTTCCATAGAACTCCAGGCGAAGCCGAAGGATGCGCGGCCTTCAATGACAGAGACGCAAGGGCCGATGTGCACATGCCTGCGTCGAAGAGTTGAACACTGCAATCGAAGACCTGTGTCGGGCAAGCCCTCTGTTGCATTCCGCCTGGGGATCCTGAAGGTTTCCCTTGGGATCTCGGATTTGCAACCGCGCCTTGACCTTGCGAGGAGCAAGGCGGTTCACCACACGATACAATGCAGATAGCTGGCTCTGCTGTGACGCCCGCTCCGCCACAGCGGTTTGCTCGAGAAGAAAGGCCTTCTTGCGAGCGCGGCGCTCAGCAACGACCGTGCGCTCAAGTGTACGGATCTGATGATCAAGCCTCCATGCCGTGAAGGCTGCACGCAGGCAGTAGGCAGGTGGCCTGTGGTCAGCGCATCTCGTTCGTTGCGCAATTGCCAGAGAGTGCGTACGGCTGTGGCTTCAGCCGGCACAGTAGCCGTCTCGGCTGGCGCAAGGGTGCTCCGTGCTCCCGCCGGTTGGCTATGAGTCCAGGCCTGAGTCAAGCATCGATCAATGTCAGCAATGGTGGGTCTATGGGGTAGGGTGGCCCTCAGCTTTCACGAAAGGCTTGTTGTCGTTCGGGATTGTTTCGAACTGCTTCCCAAACGGACCTAGGCTTCGAAGTCAGATGCTTGGGACGAGAGTGCACCCGGGACACCACGTGAAAGGAAAAGAGCCTCGGACCGGTATGTGTCGAGAGCCCAGTCGGCCCATGGCCACCGCAGAATAATGTAATCTATCAGTGTTTGGCATTTGTGGCTGGATTGACAAATGTTGCGCCCGGTGCCTGACCAAAGGTGTTGGTCGCCACCAGCCCAAATGTGCACAACGTGTGAAGCAGCTCCTGACCGTCTTGTTGCGGGGGAGGGGTACTAGGGATGCCAAGACCAACTACTCCTTTGCATGATGCGAGCTGGGTGTTCAGGTCACCTGTGAGGCACAAAAGGTTGCGACGTGGGAGCGACCTAAAGAGAGCCACACAGCTTCTGCAAGAACTGAGCCCTGCGGCGCATTCTGCCACCAGTCGGTCTTGCTGTCCTGTTTGCGGTGATGCCAGGCGAACTGATATGCATGAAGAAGGTCGATAGGTTGATGTCCTGCTTTGGGTGTGATCCGCAAGTGCTGCAATCTACCTGCGATTATGGAGCTATGCCTAATGCCCTCCGGGGTGGCTAAACGCTTGGAGATGCAAGTCAGCAGACCGGCCTCCTTGGGGGCACCACTGCTGTGGTGCACAAAGCACCAGTGGTCATCATCCCACTGCAGGTCGTCCCGCCAAAAGGTCTCCTGAATGCAGACGATGTCCACACGATTGCTATGTGTGTGAAGCCACTCCTTGAGCTCTGCCCAAACCAGGGTGGGCCCGCGGCTTCCAGAGACGAAGAGGGCAATGGGATTCAGGATCCTCAGCATCATGTAGAGCCCTAATGTCAGGGGTCGTGGCCACGTTTGACCTTAGCCGGGTTCTTCTTGGTCCACCCAAAGGCAGAGAAAACTGAACGCACGTACTCAGGTTCACCCCAAGGGTGATGTTGTTCCCATCTAGCTTGATAAGCCGCCTTAAAACTCAAGCTGGCCATCTTCATTGGAGCCTCCCAGTGACCTTTACCTTTAGAACCGCACTTAAGGATTTGTGGATAAAAAAAACCAACCCCTCTTGGCTGTCGGAGACAATCAATAAATCCTCCACACTTGCAGTGTTCCAAGAGAAGCCAAGATCAAGCGCAGAGGGTCTGCTACGAATGTGCCTTGACAAGCCTTGGGGCTTCGTCAACCAACCGACATGCTCACGTCCGACCGACCAACCGACACGCTGTCGCCGCTCGACCGACCAACTCACTGCGACTGTCAGATGGCCCAGGACGTCACCCATGGCTGCTGGATCCTGAAGTTGAGAGCCAGCGAACAGATGAACAATCCAGCCTTTTTTTCTGGCAGATTTTCAGAAAGTCGTTTGGGTCGTGGAGTGGCCAGAGTCGCATCACAGAAAGTCTTGAAGCTGTCTTTCATCATCGTGGTGTTGATCTGGAATCCGCAGCAAATGAAAGGGAGGCTACGATCATTGTCCCAATTATTTCACGTCTCACAGTTTTACATAGTGACATTATTTTTGAAAATGGGAGGGCTGCGCTTCCCCCAACCCCCCCGCTGTTTCCGTCGAGCAAGTTTGCCTTATCTCCGCCCTTTCCCCCAACCCGTCCGCTTTATCACCCCTTATTTGTAAGCCATTTCAAGCCGCGCACCATCGTTTGCATTGTCGAGTTAACTTGCTGGTGTTTTTCCCCATGCTCCAAAACATTGACGAAAACACTTTTTTCAAATCACCGTCTGTGGTCATCAGCCACTAAGCGAGAAAGTAGCAGCTTAGGCCGTTTTCGCACGAATTGCGGATCTGGAGCTGATTGGTTTGCGCACTGGCAGGCTTCTGAACTGATGTTGTGGGAGCAGCGTGGATAATCTTCTTTGCGAGGATTCCTCGCGATCTTTTCCTTGCCGATTTGCCATCTGATAGCAATGTCAGTGCTGCGGCTTTCTTCTTCTTTCAAAAACACCCCGAGCAAGTGAAGAGAGTTTGAAACGGTTGTACTGCCGTTTGCGGAAGGTGCCTGCCAGCCAAGAGCATCACCAAGGTGAAATCTTGTGCGGCAGCCCTTGGGAGGCTACACAGCGTTGCGAGTTCTTTTACTTCTCACACTTCAACCTTGGAGCTTTGTGAAGCTGTGAAAGAAATGATACTCGCCACGGTCATGCCCAGATCCCAAATATCATAGTTAGCCAAAAATTCTTGTTTCGAAGTTGTTGCCTGCTGTTTTTATTTAAACTTCAAAGTCCCAGCATTACCCAAAACCTTAAACCAGTTGCTTTGGTGAGCTGTTTCCTTCTCAAGGTAGGTTTTTTTGTGTAGTTTCAGCTGTAGAACATGTATATCAAGTTCGTGCTGCCGAATGACACACCATGCCTCGATGGACTCACAACATGCCCGCTGCACTGCCAGTATGAGCAGAACGACTTCACTAACAATGTGGACTGTGTGACACAAAATGTTTTGGAGGCTCATTTCGGGATTGGCCCTCCAACAGTCAGCGGAGGGGTTGCTGTAGATCCCCTTGTCGATGTCTGTTTGATTTTTATGGATTGGAAGATTGAAGACTTCTGGCAAGAAGTTTTGGTCTTCAACTGCATCACCTCCAGAGTCGAGTTCCGATCTTGGGAGCTTGAAGACTTCGGGGCAGTTTTGCGAGCATTAGACACAAACAGGGCCACAGAGCTTAGCGAGTCTGGAAAGTGACTTTTGCTTTTCAGCGAAAAAGGCTTCTCAGGATCCAACACCACGGCAAATGATCAAACTCTCATGTTTCTGCAGGTGCACAGGGAAGACCTCTGGGGAGCAAATGCTGCATTCATCTGCGGCAACTCTCCTCAAGCAGGTTCCAGTTGCAGACCTCGGAAATTTTGATGTCTTGCTGAAGGTTCCAGGTGCAGACCTCGGAAATCTTTATCTTTTGCTGAGTGTGTAGATCTAGCACTTCTGTATTCTGCGAACAGCGAGATTAACCACAGCGGGATGCGAAAAAGAAGCAGAGTCTTTCAGAACAAGGGCGCTCGAAGAGACGTCTACTAGATTAGGCCCAAACCAGGAGTCCAATTTTAGAAGTTGGATCAGAGTGCGTGCTCCAGCTGTGATTTCAGCCATATTCAAGTCCCTGGACAGATCAACCCCATCAGCTTCAAAATCATGGTTTTTGTCAAGTGCCCACTAAGACAAGATCTGCCAACGACAGGACACCAGACATTTTAGGCCAAAACAAAAATTAAGTTATCTTTGAACCGCAAAACACAGGGTCAAACCTGGTGTTGGATGCGACAGTGTAGGCTGTATTCCGAAATAGCTTCCAGAACCGAACCCTCGACCAACCCTTGCCCGTTTTGCATTGGGGGTTTGGGGGGACCCTTGCCTCCACCGACTTGCATAGGCAGAACACTCGGCAGAACATGTGGGCAGAACATTCGGCAGAACATTTAGGCAGAACATTCAGGGCCAACGGAACCGGCGAAGCTGAAGGGCTGGAGGGAAGACTGGGAGCTGCAGCGTCTGCCATAGCCTCTGGGGAGCTGCAGCGACTGTGAAGGCGCGTGGGCCTGCAGCGACAAGGGGCGCCT